TGTGTGTGTATATATATATATATATATATATGTATATATATATATATGTATATATACATATATGTTTAAATATATATATATATGTGTATGTATGTATGTATATATATAATTAGTATATATATATATATATATATATATTATAAGTATATATGCGTATGTATATATGTACATATTTCATTTTGTATACCACCAAATATAGCAGTTATATGTATATATATAGATATACTAATTATATGTAATATAATATATAGATATACTAATTTTATGTAATATAATATATATATATACTAGATATATAGTCACATGCCTTGACAACCGATACATTCCAACAGCTAGTTCCATCTACTGCAACCTAGTCTTTACTTATCTACCCGCCCTATCTAGATCACAAACCAGAGTCACCCACAATCGAAGCCTCGAATATCACCGATAGCACAGACGTTGGTCAGATAAATGTGGATGCCTCCGCCTCTCACGTTGGGTGGCTAAACACACCACAGAGCACAGCACCCAACAAACTTAGGCTGCGACATACTCTGCATACGCAGTACAGTTCGAATTCGTACAGGTATGTGTACACATGCCCAGTATAGCTCTCTGTCTTCGTACTGGTATGTTTGACTTTGTCTGGCGGGCAGGTGGCATCCCCTGCACATCCACTCACCCCTCTCCCTCCTCCGTAGTTTGTCATGCGTCTGGCACATGCTGTACAAAATTGCCCTTTGAATCCAATCCCATCTCTCTCCCTCAACCATACTGACTATTTAATTTTACCTGGATCCGTTCTTGTAATTGTGTTTACCCCAGTTGCTATGCGCAAGCGGTCTCGTACAGCTCCCGAATTACTATATGTAGAACCATGTGTTTTGCGGGCAACATATTCGACTAATAAGCTCTACTACAGTCTCTCCGCCGTCGGCTTGCACACTTATTCATAGGGATAGCGAATCTCATACCATACAACGAGTACCAATATCACCAGCAAAACCAATCTCCTCCTCACAGATCCGACCCAGACGCAGGTGTATTGGGCCGCATGCACGACTCTTTCCAGGGCATCCGAAAAGATGAAACCAAAGCCTTGAAGTTCGTGAGGAAGCTCGATATAGCGACTATGGTCGCTCTACTATCGGGGTATGGCCTGGTTGCCGTGCTGGTGTTTACGCTCCCCAGTTAAATGGTTAAGGCCTGTGGTAGTCAGACGAACACACTTGCGCAGGAGGAGACAGTCGCGTGTGCTTGCGATGGATGCACATGGGTGTACGTTGTAATACATACTTGCATATCTCCAGGGCTCTCGGTCAGCTCTGAAGACTGTGAGTGACAGCACTAGCCTTGCGCCGTACGTACAGCACACACTGTGGGGGAGAAGTCACCCAAATGAATTAGGCATCTGTGCGGTACTAACTAGCGGTGTATGTCGACACGACGTCCCCCCAGATGTACGTAGGTGGGACGTTCGAGTATCTCTCCAACTCATTGTATGAGGATGCATGGTACTCCGTAGGTGTCTTCACAGGTTAGAACTACATCCGCCAGGACATCACGATGGACCGGCTTTACGACAACGGATATATGCACACATCACCAAATCATAGCCAGCGGTGGCGAAATCACTCTCACGCGGTTGAGTGTTCATCTCACGAGGGTGCGCACGTGTTAAACTGTCGCATATATATTCGCGAGCAAATACGAGCTTGGATGCATACATGCACATCGGTTGTGTGTGAAATAAGGAGATAGGCTGTGTGTACCCATTCCACAGCCAGGGACAATTGATCAGCAAGAAAGTGGTGTTTTAAGGGGCTACCCCTCCAGCGATCGTACCCTAACGTAGTATGGGGCTACGTGCGAAGCATCATCAACATCAACAACGACTCGGCGGTCAGAGTGTTTGCACCAGTGATGCACACTGTGCCAGCAATGGGTGTACGCTCGTGCCGTAGTAACGGTAGACTAACTAGTGCGCGTTCGAACGGAATGGGCTTAGCGTATTACTTTGCAGTTGTAAATCGCTGCTTGATGTGAGCAGATAGTCTGAGCTAATAGGATATGTCCAACAACATGTACCTCGCTGTGCGGTTTGGGGACACGGCGACCTGTAAATATGTAGCACTAGAAATAATCAGTAAATAGTATACAAAGCGTTTCACTTTATCACGTCGCACGCAATTGTCGCTTGGGCTCGGAGAATAATTAGGCACAATAAAAACAGACAAAATCTGCCGATAACAGTAAGTGGAAATGCAGCTATACCCAGCGTCCGAGATTTAAGCTTAAATATACAATTGGATACGAATGAACAATAGATCTTCCATTTTAGGAAACGAGTTGTTGCATAATTTAGGAACTGCTTCTTGATAGTAGTATATCCCTCGACTTGCATCGCAACTATGGTTCTCTTCCCATTCTCGAGATGTGCCAGTGCGGTAAACCCAACGGTGCTGATTCAGTGAAGTTGTTTGTATTTTATGCTACTTGGAAATAAAAATGGACTACATACTTACAATTTGAGATTAACTAGAAATCTATTCCTATTTTTATATATATATGTATCGTTTGGTGAATATACGAAGATACGAATATTGATATCTCGTGTCGAACTTATCCTACCTACTAAGGTGAATAATTACAACTCTTGACACATAGAAGTATATCAGTAGTGTAGATGATTCGATTTATGGATTAGACAACAACTTTGCACTCTTCCCGGTCCTCTGTAGTCAAGTGTAGGTCAGATGCAGTGGCGGTCTATTGAAAACAACAGTTTTGCCACCCATAGAAATGTACCAAGGGTGGGTAGCAAAAGTATCTTTGCTGATGGCTTTCTTCGGAGCTATTCTTCCGCAGGTAGTACTGTCATCGTCGCAGTCAAGCCAGTATATATCCATCGTGTGGAATCCGGAATTGTAAACGGTGAAATCTGATTGGTGGTCACCAGACTTTTGAGTGCCGGTTGTCTGCGCAACCCCCACAATAAAATCTTGTAACACATTACGACCACATTTGTCTGTCACCACCAAAAGGTGTGATTCAAAAGTGGATAGAGTGTAGCTGTCTTGGACTCTCAGGTCGCTGAGTCCACCGTGACCTAATCGTGATCAATCCGGGAGCCATGTACAAAACAGTTCAACTTTAATATTTTGACAGTGACGTCGACAAGCTTTTGGCCAGAAATGAACTTAACTTGACTTTCCCAGCTTCACATGGATCTACATACATGTCATTTTCTTTGATGTAGTACAACAGGCCGCGCTCCTGCTTTAGATGGTTGCCAATTGGTTCCCTCCACAGCTCACAATATTTATCTTGTCCAGTCTCGTAGCCAGTGCACCAATCATACAACTCGCACTGACTCTGACTGGAGCCATAAAAGCCACGGCATACGCTTCCCTTTTCCACATCGTAGTCGTCTTTGGGCTCGATTATTTCGCCGACGTATGAACGTGTTTATATACCCGCGCATGTATTCGGGTTGATTCGAACTTCATTTTGCTGCTCATAGTGCTTATTCTTGCCAGTCTCGTAGCTGGTACATTACTCTTGACACTCGCAATAATTTTGCCACTCTTTGGGTTAAACGTGGAATACCTCATAATAGTGATCCTCGTGGTCGTGGTCCATTAACCGGTGTTGCTGCGGTACATGCCGTAGCTTGCACACCAAGAACGGCAGTAGTGGCAGATTTATGTTGTTTGTAATTTTAAGATTGTGTACAATCTTACAATCTTAAAATATCAAATATATTATAAAATATATAGGACAGTAATCTTATGATTTTGTCTATGAAATTGAGTTGATTAGTTATTGTGGTATTCGAGCCACATATATATGGAAAATTTTCACCTGAACATCTCGTCTGAGGAGTATAAATGTTTTTGTTTGTATACGGTACGTACCTGAATGCTATAGTCACAGCTGAATCATCTTAATAGTATATTATCGTGAAGTTTACTGTCCCGTGACTCTACGTAAGTCGTAACCTTCATTAGATTGTGTTGGTCTTGGCATGGGATACACGGTATATGTCTAACAATATTTTGCACCAAGACAGGACAGCCCAGACTACGTGATATATTAAGATATAAAAACTAAAATGAGATCCACTGTTGAGCAAAGACCTTTTTTCTCTAGATAGGTTTGAACCCCAAGTCCGGGCTTTTATTACACTGGCATTAGTAACAATGTTATGCCACTGTATCAACCGCATATGTATCGGACTATCGTATTATCTTGAATAACTAGTAGTTAATCAATAGACCTTATTTCTTGTGAAAGTCAATTCATAGGTCTATTTAGGTTATGGGCTATATAGACCTCTACTAATTTCCTAGAATATTTTTACACTCGAATCTTACTAAGCTGCCAAAGCAAACTTGATCTATCTTCGATGAGGATGGTTGTAACCTCAATCATTAATAGGCTAGCCTCGAGATGGCAACCTCCAATACCTACACTAAGGACCTGAACCCCACCCAGCTAATATTACCATCCAGCTAATATTACCACCCAGCTAATATTACCATCCAGCTAATATTACCACCCAGCTAATATTACCACCCAGCTAATAATACCACGTAGCTAATATTACCACCCAGCTAGTATTACCACCCAGCTAGTATTACCACCCAGCTAATATTACCACACAGCTAATATTACCATGGCATACCATGAATTTCACCGACCGACACAAAAACTCTAAAACTACACTACTCACGGAAAAATAAAGGAATATCACGCTTTAATACTGTTGATTTCCCATCAGGGGACTTTTCATGGACGCTTTGAATTTTTTTCACCATGTAGCGAAGATTGATCTTTTATATGCATTAAAAAACTATTGCACACGTACCTCGATCTGTTTTTCCGGAAGGCGGCGAATTGCCATCGATTGGCGCAAGGTAAATCTCGTTGCGTACCTTGTCTTTGCAAATAAACCCCATTTGGCCTGATAGAATCGACGATAATACTAAGGCAGGTGCGTCTATTACGATCGCGCTTCCGCTTCGACGGCGTGCCCTCCTAGTGGAACACATTCCTGGCTCATTTTCAATCGCAGACATTTACAGTACAAAACAATACATCTACGTTCTTGCGGCATGGAACTACAGGCGTTGGCAAGCCTACTCGGAAGTTTACCGTGGTCGCCCTCATTGGTCCCACAGCTGCACATGTCACGCCAGGCGATGACTTTGAATCTGTGGTTGAATATTGTCGCTACAACCCTGAGTTTAATATACATTGCCGAGTACGCATTGAAGAAAAATGAGGCTAAAAAGGTCTCCCGCCAATCTACTAGCAGCATGTACGGCCCAGGAGAGCACTTCGTTGCCGGTCTCCAAGGCCTATATTCTGTTGGCCGTTACGGCAACACATATACTCTTAACATATTCGATGCTGGCGCCCGTTACGGCCTACATACCACTCTACCGAACAAGGGTATTGCCCACCATGAGGTAGACGATCTTTTCACCATAGTTTCCTCGCGTTGGGTCCCCTGCACTCTTGTTGCCGACAAGGACGTTGTCTGTCACAGGGGTTAATGTGCCGTGAACGTCAGATTGATCTACGCGCCCCATCGCAAAAACTACGTTCGTGCCCATCTCATAAACGCTGGTATACCTCATTCGATGTGGGGCGACGCTAACTAAACCGAGCGCCATCGTATGCCTGCTCAAGTAAATTTGCAGACACATGATATCCGTGATCCTCGTGTCCGTTTCAGCTGTATCGCCTCCTTCAAATTCCATGAAGAGGCCGCAAACGCTACCTCTCGGGTATTGCCCCCAAGTCGACTATAGTGTCCTTATCGGTATTAACCTTCAATCTACCTCGGCCTGCTATCGCATTCAAAATCTGGCCACCCAGTTACAGATGTTCACCGAAGACCTCTAGCTCCACTATTGAGAACACGTCTTGGTCCGCCTTTAGTTAGCAAATTTGCATGCCGCTCGGCCACCCCTGTGACCTACTACATTTTTCTTCGATTGAACGAATCCGGCCACCCAGTCACAAATGCTATTTCTTTCCATGGACCATCTGCCCTTGCCTCCAGTACGCCCAGTCTTCCCAGCTGCCGCTACACAATTTTATCTAGACTGATATTGAACCCAGACCAGGCAATACACATGTGGACGGTCCTATCCTCAAGCAGTCTGATATCGCTCCCGAGCCCACCGATACTGTGCTACCTATACCTGAGCAGGCCACTCCTATGCCACCAACTCACCCTCCCGGCACCGGCTCTACTCTCCAGCAATCTGACATCGCCAAATGAGCTCACTGATGCTGTATTCCATACGCCTACCCCGTCACCTACACTGCTTCCGGCCGCCACCTCGCCCGACGTCACTACACCTCCCCTACCCTTTACGCCTCTTGTATCACCAGCGGCTGCTGTACCATCTTCTGACGATAACAACTCTAATCTCAGCACCATGAACAATGCCTCTCACGGGACTTCTGACGCTGTCACTCGCATCTCTCACCTGTCACTACCTCAGTCCGTACCACCGACCATACCAGACATCCAGAAGATGCCTGCCCCAGTGTCCCCGTGGCATCTCCATGATACCTTTTATCACTGGCCGCCCACGTCAGCTATTCTGAGTTCCCCAGCTTACATACGTCGTTTCTAGTGTTCCGATCTCCTCTGACTTCGCTGTACTTAGTGATTCTGCGATTCCTTCATCGCCTTCGCCTATCCCACGGGTCCCTCTTGATCACAACGCTACTGTCGTGATTCATACCACTATTTATTGCCGCTGCCACTGCCTCCTAACTTCCGGCGTGTGGTTCTTTCGTACAGTCCCTCGTACACCTTCTCATGCCCCCTCCCACCTCAGCCTAGTACACTCGCGAGAAATCTCCACCTGAATGATCATTCACCGTTTAATATAAATACGTTTCGTCCTGGGCCCCCTGGTTACATTAAACCATGTTGTGCCACCGTATCAATCATAGCTAGTATCGTACTATCAGCTTATTATAAATAGCTAGTAATTTAATCAATGGATCTTTTAGTACTTATGGAAGCCAGTTCATAGGTCTCTTTGAGTCCTTATCCACCCATATCCCCAAGAGTCCACTGTCCAGAACCGGACTCAGGTCCGAATAAAAATTGAGATCCGAGAGGTAAACAATGTCAAAACGAATCTATTTTTCATGCTATCGAATCGATTGGAAGAGGATATCAAGTGGCCGTAAGACAATAATACAATAGATACAGTCAATCACTTACACAGGCTATTCTCCGCAGTCGGCACTCCTACATCCTTATAGGCTATACTCCCAATATACAGCCCGGCACTGAAAAGAAATCTCAAACCTGACCTCTCTGGGCAGTCAAGTGTCAGCTTTTTGCTTTGTACTTCACATATGACGTTCTTCACATCTCTTTGCGGTGTACAGTTTTACCGCGGCAACCGGAAGTGCTTTTAGGTATTGGACATTAATTTGTCAACTGGGTAGTAAAAGTTAGTGAGTGTGTGAGTGCGTGAGCAACCATCGCTCTATTATGATTTGCATTCAGTGAAATACTGTGGTAGTTTAGTTTGTGTTTGACATGTTAAAGTTCCGCGTTGGCAGATTCGCTTGCTGCACCATTGTGAAAGGTATGAATATATTTGGTCTTTGAATTAAGTGTGATTGCTCATAGATCGCAAGATCTGTAGTCTGTTGAGACGTGTAAAAATACTATTTGAGACCATGCATCTAAACTTCTCGGGAAGACCGTCGAAACCTTGTAAATAAATTTTGGAGCGTTAACATTATGTTGATAGGTATCCCAAGACTTCCAAAAGCAAAAGTGCATCTCAATAGAGCATATTTTTTTTAGCCTGATTCGATGTGGTAAATATACTACGACAACTATTGACAAGCAGTTATGTAAGCCATACACAGGAACTAATTCCGGGATATCGAGTTGTATGCAAATAGCCTTTGAGTGACTGGCACGTGTTTAGGAAGTTGACACGCAGTCTACCAGTTGGTGTACAAATAGTCTTGCATTTAAAAAAAAAGTTAACCTATTGAGCCGACAGATTGTAGATTACCAATGGTGTGGATGATTCGATTTATTCATTGGAGAACAACTTTATATGCTCTCCGGCCGTCTGTTACTGGACAGCAGTTTTGCCACCAATAAAATAGAAAGGGTGGGTGGTAAATGTACATATGCTGATGGATTTCTTGTGAGCTATTCTTAGGTAGCTAGTACTGTGGCCATTGTGCTTCAGCTGTTAAACCAGTACGGCCTGTCAAATTTCATTCCAGGCTGTCGAGTACATCAAGAAGGCGGCGATAACTAAGGCAATAAACGATCCATACAAATAGTCAAGCTCACAAAGATAAATACTTCCTAACTTTTAGGTACGTTTGTATCTAGAAAAGTTCATACATGTCTGCACCCTACGAACTAAAAAAAAAGCGCTACAAAGTTCGTTGTCATTCCAAAAATCTATATATAGAAATCATCAAGATTCTTATTACCTACAACGAAGCACAACGAAGCAATACTCTTGATGTAAGTATATTTTCATCTTATGTATATTAGTATGTGTGCATGCATATATACATCGACACAAGCGAATTCCGAAATGCCCTCCCGTTACTGAAGTGTCCAAATAGCCTTCGACAGGCAACAACTAGCCTTCGACAGGCAACAATGATCTCTACAAAAGTTTATTCATTTTTCTCAACGTAGTTCGTTGCACGTTATCATAAACCACACCGCAGGGTCTGTTACAGTCGACATGTTCGATATCAAATCATTCAGTATTGTTGGGGCATCTGTGAAGAAGGTGTACAGGATTTTTAGGCGAGAGTGAGTACATCTCCACTGTGGCAGATAACTATACCGCGCGTGCCATACAAACATACAGCTTACAACATTTAGTATTTATTTCTTCCAATAGTGGTGTGAACTCGAGCTTTAAAGCTCTATGTGATTTGATAAATATCCTGATGAGCCAATTTATACCAACTCATATTTAGGACATCATAGAGCACATTTAGATGCAAATCGTGCACACTTTTAGACCAATTTATACCGAAGCATTTAAAGGACACAGAAAACATTTATATACAAATCGTACACGCTTAACAGAGTTACATGTACCTGATATCCGCCTTGTTGTGATGCCGGGTATCCCCCTTGCTGTCCCTAAAGCCAAGATCAAGGACAGGACGTGCTCATACATCAGCAACAAATCATTAAAATGCGGACAAAGCGCTAAGTTAAGTGAGCTGCCATCTCAACGGGAGTGGAGTCAGCTATCGCGGGACAGTGTGTCATCGTTCGGCAAATGATACGATGTGTGCATTGCAGTTGACAAGTGTCGCGGGACTGGGAAACTACTTAATCCGTTGGTGTGCTGTGGGACTGCAACCACTTTAGATACATGGTAGGGTGCAGGCATTCTATTGTGCTGAGACGGGCGCAGAAAGCACAGAACATCATTTCGAAAAGGATATTGCAAGCTACTAGACGCAGGAAAAATGAGAAGGCACATACATGGAAATCACACACGGTATTCAAATGTAATGATGGACACTGATAAAATATAAATTGACCTGCTAAAATACAAACTATCCTGATAAATTTATAACGTATCCTGATAAAATACAATTTCCTTGATTAAATTATAATACTGATGAAATGCATACTATCCCGATAAAAATAAAATGTATTCTGATAAAAATCTTAGTATCATAAGGGATCCTGCGGGATAGATTGAAATATACAAGGACATAAGACGCGTTTACAGATAGGTACAGCTACTTGCCACGTGTCAACAATACAGCCACAGAAACTATGGTATGACTGGCTATGAATAACCAATTTAACTCTCGTAAAACGCAGACTTGCCTTGCGGCCGTATGAAAAATTCTCAGAGAAGATGGGTGGACGTCCTAAATGCGAAGACGCCCACGAGAAGTACGCCAAACAGCACAGATCTACCCCACCAACAACCATCAACGCACGTATGCACCAAACACTCGGACATGCATACGACACATAAGCCTGGGTGCAGGTCAGTTGCAGTCACTGATCTACCCATCGCTACTGCGAACACCCATGCGTTTATGGACCTTTGTTGCCACACCTAGCCAGTCCTCTGCACCTCTACGCTACACCGTAACCAGCAACCTCATCGCGAGATCCTAAGCACCAGCGGGATGGGCATGGCCGCATATCCGTACAGAAACAAGTCACGCATACGTTGATATACACATACATACCAAGACAAGCACTCAACCACACGTTGATATACACACACAAACTTACCGGGGGCGCTGAGAAGGCTAGTTGTGCATCCCTCGACAGATGATCGTAGGTAGCCATAGAGGTGCAGTATGTCTCGTTGAGGCGACCCAACTCCTGGTCTTTGGCATCAATCACGGCAATCTTCTGGTCCAGCGCAGGCAGCATGCTACCTACCACCAGGTCGTACAGGCGCTCGATTTCCTGTGAGGTGCAATAATGGACCGAATAAAAGGGGAGCAAGGGCACATGGGACCAGGATGGAAGTAGGGTTAGGCGTGTTGGGAAGAATTAGTGTCCACTCATATGAGTATCGGACTAAAGAACAGCTCGGGTTTCCCGTGGGAAGCAGAGAGAAGATCCGAGATAGTGGCAGGCATTGGCACACACACACACATTTATAATTATATAAA